ATTGATAGGAAACTGATTTGTAAGTTTTTCGCCAAGTGCTAAGGGAATTGGCCAATTCCTTGGTCATCTTCTTTTGGGCTAAGATGCAGGCCCCTATTTGGCCTCTCAACGCTGTGTGGTCTCTCCTACGAAGAGCTGAGAGAACACCCGCCTGTTGCTCTCTTACTCTGGCTATGGCATCATTCATTTTGCTGCACGTGTCCATCAATATAAGTGACTCATCGAGGATCTCATCGATCCATCTATGTTGTCGACGAATGGCTTCATGGACGAGAGGTAACTGGAGAAGGTCATCAGAATCATCAAATATACCGACCAAGGAATCAACAAGACACCTGCCCTTTTGCTTGGCGTTGCAATCACTGAAACTGAGCAACTTCTCATTCAATTGGTGTAAGATTGGGTGTGATTTAGATGGCAAGCTATTGGATCGAACATGGTAGCAGTTTGGGACATCCATTGTGCAACTTCAAAACCAAGATCCACGCTCTGTTGCTTTTAAAGAACCAATGCTCATGCCTCTTATAATGTAAGGAGGAGACAAATGGAATCCTTCGCCCTGTATATAGTACGGACATTGCATTGCTAACACGTGCAATCTTGGGGTGATACGCAGGGTAGGTCAATGAAAGATGGATCTAATTGTCTCAAGGAGCGCAGAGCAGAGCAGAGCAGACAGACATGGTGGTTGCACCAGTGGCTTGCCTACTCTCTGCCGCCCCAATATTTAATCCTCAACACATGTTTCCTTGGGATCAAAACATACTTACTGTGGGTATGAAAGGGCTGGCATCCTTAGGACTATGGCGACCCAATTCTTCTTCTTGTTTTTGTTGGTTGAAAATTGCATGTGGGCCATTTTATTTTACCGTTGTAATAAAAAAGCCCCAAAATATACGACGGCAAGACTACCCCTCATATTTTTTTTATATTTTTTTCGATTTTTCTCCCATCTAATGTTTCAAATATCGGACTGTTTATTTATTTATTTGTATTCAAAAATTCGAATTGCCCTATTTGTGATCGGACTGCTTGTGTTAGGGTTATGAAACGAGAGAGGAGAAAAAACAAAAACTAGCACAAGCGGTTTGATGACCCCTTTAGAAATTGTCTTGATCG